TGTGCTTTGTTCCCAGCTCTTCTCACGTGCACACAGGGAAAGATGCCTTTGAGTGTCTCCACTGCAGGGTAGATTTTCCAGGCTGGCCTCAAACTGGGTAACTACCCAGCGACCTAGCAAATTCATGTCACCAGTGGTGCAGAGTCATGGCCAGCTGCACTTGGGCTCGGCGCGGCCGCGGCATTGCGAGCACCACTGTCGCGGGCACCGGGAAGCCGCTCTGCAGCAGCGGGGTTAACAGAGCCGGGGTTTCGGAGCCGCGAGGGCCGGCGCTGAGCCACCGCGGCACGTCCCAGGGCCTGCGGTTTGTGCCGTTGGGTCGTTGCTCTGCTCCCAGATCAGCTGGTGTTTTTGCTTCGGTCGCCTAGTCCTGCAAGGTGATTAAAGAGAGCGAGCGAATAGGCGAGCGTCCGTCCTCCGCGCGCCCCGTGGTATCCCCCAAGCACAGCGACCGTGCTAGTGCTAGCTTGGCCAAGCCACCGCTGTGCGTTCACCCTCCGCAGCCCTGGCGCAGCCCGCGCTGGGGGAAAAAAAAAAAAACAGGACGATCAGGAGAATAAATCATTTTATTTTAAAGTTATTTTGCCCTGTCCACGCTAACACAGTCTCCCTTTTCCCTAATCTCCCACAGCACCATGCCCTTAGCTCTGACCCACATGGTGTTTGAAGTTATTTTTGGTTGCTGCTTTTAAGTGTATTTTAAGTCTTTTATTCCATCCCCAAAATATTTTACTTCAAGGCGTAATATTCCCAGTTAATATCAGTTACCATCATAGTTTTGGCAGCGCTCTTTCAACTGATGTTCTTGGGAATGTTTCTACATGTGGTTTAGTAGGAAAAGCTTATGACAGTCTAATGAAATTATTTATGTTTGGGGCTTGTGTTTGAGGCAGCCTGGTATATTCGGGAGGACTGCGAGCAGCTCTTGCAGGCAGAGATCGCAGGGAAACCTGCGGCCGTCCCGTGCTCGTGGCTCGTCCGCAGATGCGGGCACAGGAGAGCGGCCGGCGGCTGCTCTGTGGCACGTTTCCAGGGCCGGGATATTCCCCTCCGAGGTGACTCAGCGGGACGTGGATTTAATGCCCGCAGAGCTGAGAGCTGCACCTGACCCAGCGCTCGGGGCTGGCAGGGAACTGGCCGGGTCCCGTAGCCCCTGTCCTGCCATAGCCATGGGCAGAGCCCAGCGAAGCGGGCATGGATGGACAGGGCTGCCTGTTCCTGAGCGGGGGGCACTGGGGGGTTTCCAGGCAAAAAGGATTCAGCTGTCGCTGCCCCTCTCGGGGCCAGGCCAGGCTGGCTGGGACGGACGGGG